GCCAATGTGATTGGACAAGAGAGTGAAATCGAAGGCACTCAAGTAGAGAAAGAAGAGTTGAAATTACCTCTGTTTGCAGACGACATGATAGTATACATAGAATTACCTCTGTCTGCAGACGACATGATAGTATACATAGAAGAGCAAGGGGTATCCATGAAAACATTTCTCAAAGTAATAAATGAATACAGTAAAGTGGCAGGACACAAAATCAACTTGCAAAACTCTATTGCATTTCTATATACAAACAAGCAGATAGAGGCGGAACTGAAGAAAGTAATCCAATTTATCACAACCACAAAAAGTACAAAAAGTAGGGACCAGCAGTTAGTGTAATGGCTGTCGCTGGACTCCCATGTAGTCGACCGTGGTTTGAGGCCCAGATTCAGCGGCTTAAACTCATGTTGGGCATGCGTACGTGTGTGCCCAAGATCCCAAGAGAAGAATGGAGGAGAACGGATTGCAGCATGGCCATCCCCCGGGGGTGGGAGGGTGGGGTGATTTCTCGCTTTCTGTCTCTCTGTCTCTGTCTTTCTGGTGAGTGCATGTGCCCTATGGCAAAAACCTCTTCAAAAAAAGAAAATAAAAAAGTACAGAAAGGATATCTAGCAAAAAATCTAATGAAGGAAGTCGAAGGCCTCTACAAGAAAAAATATAAATGAAATTTAAATAAAATTAAATATATTTTTAAAAAGAAATTGAAAATGATACAAAAAAGTGCAAGGACATCCCTTGTTCCTGGATTGGGAGAATATAATAAAAATGGCAGATCTACCCAAGTTAATTAACATGTTTAATGCAATCTCTATAAAATTACAAGAGACATTTGTCTCAGATTTAGAAAAGACAATCATTGTATTGGTCTGGAACCATAAAAGGCCCTGTATTGGCAAAGCAATCCTATGCAAGATAGTGGAGTGGGCAGCATCTCACTCCCTGACCCAAAAATGCATTACAAAGCTGTGATAACAAAAACAGCATGTATTGGCACAAAAACAGACATGTGAACCAATGGAACAGAATTAGAGACTCCAGAAATTAATCCCAAAACATACAGCTAACTGATTTTTGACATAGGGTAGCAGTCAATCCAGTGGGAAAAAGTAAATCTCTTTAGCAAATGGTGCTGGAAAAACTGGGTATCCACCTGCAGAAAGATGAATCTGAGCCCCCATCTCTCACCATTAAAAAAAATCAACTCAAAGTGGATCAAATATCTAAACCTGAGACCAAACTATAAGACTACTGGTGGAAAACACTGGGGAAACTCTGGGAGATGTTGGAGTAGGCAGATACTTTTTTAAAAAAAAAATTTATTTAACTTTATTTATTTTAGTTTGAGCAGAGAATGACAGACAGAGAGAGAGGAAGTGAGAAAGCAAGCTGCCAGGTCTGGGACATGAACCTCAGTCAAACACGTGGGAGTCCAGCGCCCTTAACCACAATGCCAACTGCCAGCTTCTTAAATAAGACCACCAAAGCACAGATAATAATCCCCAAAATAGACAAGTGAGATTACACCAGATTAAGAAGTTTCTGCATGGCAAAAGATACAGTAATTAGTCTGAATCAGCAAACTTCGGAATGGGAGAACATTTTTGTAAACTATGCCTCGGATGAGAGACTGATGACCAGAATACACAGGGAACTCAAGGGACTTATCTGGGAAAAAAATAGATTAATCCCATTGAAAGTTGGGAAAAGGGGCTGAATAAACAACTCTCTAAGGAAGACATATGAACAACCAAAAAGCATGAAAAAAGGCTCAACATTCCTCATCATAAGAGAGATGAGAACAAAACCACACTGAGATACCACCTAACCCCAGTCAGAATGGTGAAGATGAAAAAACCAGAAAATGACAAATGCTGGAGGGAATGTGTTGACAGGAGGACCCTCCTACACTACTGGTGGGAATGTAAATTGGTCCAGCTACTGTAGAGAACAATATGGAGGTCCCTCAAAGACCTACAAATAGAATTACCATATGATCTAACAATTCCACTCCTGGGTATCTACCCAAAGGATAGGAGAATGCTCAGCTGGAGGTGCTTGCACATCAATGTTTATTGCAGCATTATTCACAATTGTAAGACATGGAACCAACCCAGATGTCCATGAACAGATAAATGGATTGGAAAAGTGTGGCACATACACCCTATGGCATACTACTCAGCCATAAAATAACAAGACCTTGGCATTTGATAGAAAGTGGATGAATATGGAAGATTTACTGTAGAGTAGAGCACGCCAGGCTATGAAAGAGAGACATTGTATGTCTCCACTTAACATATACCAACTGTCTGCACTCTGTGGTGGAAACAGAGATTAGAGGACATAGAAGCATTAAAAATGGTTACGGATTTTGGAGACAATGTGGGAAGAAGGTGGGAAAAGGAAGAATGGAAGGAAAGAAATTAAGGAGGAAAATAGAGAGGCAAGGCATTTATGGGACACAGAAATAGGTTATTATCTGTTGATAATAATGTGTTTTGTATCCTTAACTGGACTGGTGTGATGAGTAAATTCAACTTACAAGCAAAGTGATGTATAGTGATTAAAGACACACACACACAAAAAAAGAGAAAAGTGAATATAGACAGTCTCCATGTTGTATGGTTAGACTTACAATTAAGTGCATTTTTAACTAATGATATTTCAACGTACACTGGGCATATCACCGCATAACCCCATCATACATCAAGAAGCATGTATAGGACACATTCTGAATTTTTTTTTTTAATTTTATTTATTCATTCATTTATCTTAATATGACCAGAGAGAGAGAAACACACACACACACACACACACACACACTCACACACACACAGAAAGCAAGTCACCAGGTCTGGGACTCGAATCATGGTCGGCCATGTGGGAGTGTCCAACGCCTTAACCACCACACCACATGCTGGTCTCGGCACATTCTGAATTTTATCTTTTTTTTTTTTTTTTTTTTTTTGGGGTTTTTTTTTTTGCACTCACCAAAAAGACAGAGAGAGACACAGAGACAGAAAGCAAGAAATCATCCCCTGGGGGGATGGTCATGCCTCTTAGTCCCTTCTCCTCCATTCTCCTCTTGGGTTCTTGGACATGCATGCACATGTGCCTGGCATGAGTTTAAGCCACTGGGTCCGGGACTCAAACTGCAGTCGACTTCATGGGAGTCCAGCGACATAGCCATTACGCCACAGTCTGCTGGTCCCACATTCTGAATTTTATACATTTTTTGTGTGTCATAAGGCACATGTGCTCACAGAATAGAGACACAGAGAGAGAAAATGAAAAATTTTCCCCCAGGGGAAATGGCCATGCCACAATCCCCTCTCCTCCACTCTCCGCTTAGGATTTTGGGCACACACAGTGTCTGGCATGATTTTCAAGCTGGTGGGCTCAGGACTTGAACCACACTTGGTCATGTGGTATCCAGTGTCTTAACCTCCATGCCACCTGCTGGTCCCAAGGATTTATATATTTTTATACCAACGCAGTTGTGACATGATTTTTAATGTATTTTTACAGAGGAGGGCCCCACAAAAGTAAAATGCTAGTCTGAATGGAAGCCTGTGACATAGTCTAGTGATGCGGGGACGGCGCTGCAGGGCGAGAAGCCACTGAAAATGCAGGAGCTGGCCATGCCTGTGGGGAGGCTCGGACCCCAGCCTTGCCTTCTCAACGACTCTACTCCATCCAGGCGATGGAGGGGATGACACGGGGTGGGCAGGGCCCTGAAGCTGACACAAGAAAACAGACTGATCCGAGTAAACACAGCCCTGAGGAAAGCACCCGCAGAGCCGTAGGATTTGGGGGCGCGTGCTCAGACGATAAAGTTACAAAGGAAAGCAAGGAGACCATTCTTGCTGCAGCGAGGCCAGCAGCTCCTCCCAGGGCACAAACGTGGGGTGGGACAGTAGGAGGGGGTCAGGAGGGTGGCCCTGGGATGCCGGCGATGTCCTGGGTCCTGGAGGGGGCTCGTTTGTCAAAAACTGCCGAGTCATTTGTTTGGGGGCACTTTTATCTACGTCTTATATTCCTCCCACCCAGAAGAAAGGATTACAAAAACCCCGACATGGGTCAAGGGGTCCACTTCCCAGGATTCCCACCTCTTCCAGCTGCAGCCACAAAGCTGAAAAGAGCCTTCTGTGAATCTGGGTGCACGATCCTTTTCCCACGACATCCTGAGCATCTCCGAGGGTGGACAGCCCCAGGGCTGGCGTCCTCACTCCACACGTCCTGTTCGGCTGGACTCCTGGGTGCAGGCTGCAGACTCTGGAGCCCGGGGCCCTTCACGCTCTGGAGTAACGAGGTCACGTGAGCTAAGTGGTGAGGAACTCAGCCCTGGGCCCAGAAAGCCGTGAGGAAGGGAGAAATGTCCACCCCTTTCGAAACCTGCCCTTTCCTTTCTGACTCTCCTCTCTGCCAAGTCCCACTGCACGGTACCCACAGCCATGGTGTCCCCGGTCTCCTTCCAGCTGGGCTCCCTCTGTGCCCGGGGCCATATTAACACGCAGAACCCGCACCCCACTGCCCCCGCGTCCCTCTGCTCAGCCCTCCTGAGGCTGCACCTCCTACCTGGCAGAGAGCAGCCCCGCCCTGCCCGGGTGTCCCCCATGGAGGTTCCTGCCACCGGGAGCTCCATATGTGGGGAGGCGTGTGTCTCCCTGTGGTCAGCGACTCCTAGGGGGCAGCGTCCAGGTCTGGGGTGGAACTTGTACTGAGAGGAGGTGGCCATGTGGCATTGGAGGTGGGACAGGCACCTCCCACCTGCCGGCCTCCATGGCTCATGCCCTCACGAACGTCGACCACCTGTGAGACCCACTTTCACCTTGAAGAAAATGCCACCCCAGAGGAAGGGTGTGGACAGGGGGAAGGGCTGGGGGGCCTGTGCAGTGTGGACTGGGTGAGCCTGTCCCCCTGACTCTGGGTCCCGGCAGCAGCCGGGGCAGTGGGTGGGGATCTCTAGGCGCTGTCCCCGCCCCACAGTGACTGGGTCTGAGGTTCCTCCTGGGGAACTCACTGCTCGGAACTCCCCGTCTTCCTGTGGGGCCTCCCTGGGTCTGGCAGCTCTGAGCTCCTGACAGCAGAGCCCTGAGGAGCGGCGTCCTGCCCTGGACCTGCCCCCATGCTGCTGCGGCTGCTGCTGGCCCTGCTGGGGCTGGGGGAGGCCCTGGGGGACAGGGAGGCTAACAAGGATTACCGCCTGGAACTGCAGAGGCAGCGGGGGGGGG